TTTGTATCGTCCCGCTTCGATAGGAAAAGTGGAGCAGCGATAGATATTCCTAAAGTGCGTCCTAATTTATGTCTCATATACAGAGTTCGTACAATAGATACGACGCATAATAGATATACAAGATGACCCACACGCGCGAGCATAACGTCACGATTTTTCTCTGAATTTAGAATCGATCTTATCTTTTTTTATCCAAAAATATTTTTTCGAGGCATTAATAATTCTTAAACGAAAAAGAAAAGGTTTTTTTTGCAAATTTCGGGGTTAAATGGATTACAAAACCATATTTTTCAATTAATTTCTAATGGATTTTATTGTAATAAACTTTTTATTTGAAATTTATATGCAAATATGTATAATGTCAAAAATTTGTAAAGCTGCGATAATATTTTTGCTGAAAATTAATTAAAATTAATAATTCGTCAATAAATGAAGCTTATACGGTACACAATAAAGATGAGAAAAAATAGAGATAAAATATAATAAATTAATTTGCCGACTTTTAACTCTCTCGCGATTTAGTTTTGTATGACACTTCTTATTACAGATCTATATCACGAGAAAGTGTTGCGATTCTAAACTCAGTCAAATAATTAAAGCCGCAGATAGGGAACTTTGTCGAAAAATAACCGATATTTACTTTTTTTTGATAAATCATCTAGATATATGGTATCATTTATCACTATTTTGACATATTATCGCGAGAATGAGCTGATTAAAAAAATCTCGCAAAATTGATATACGATCATGCTTTATTATGCGACTCGATAAGACAACGCAATTGTAAATTGATAATTTTTAATCGCGAAAGGAAATCCCAAGATAAAAAATATTGATCGAATTCTGCGGGGCTTTGGCTGGTCGAACAAGTTACTCGACACATGTGTGTTCGTGTCATAACGCGAATAATGAAAACTTTTTCTGGGGGTTGCAGAAGTCAAACGCGATCCCCATCGAGACTCGATGGGGCGCCCTCAGGAAATCTAAACCGGTAACAAGATGGCTGCTCGGAAACGGAAACCGGAAGCTTGTCACTCAAGCTACGCGGTCTTCCGGCGTGTCTCGAAAAAAGGGAAGCGGTTCTGGAACGGTCGACGAGAGAAAGAGAGAGAGAAAAGGAGTGAATTGTTTCGCGTATATTATTTCGCTACACTCCCTGAAGTTGAAGAAAAACATTATAATAGCATTGAAATCTTTAAATCTTTTGTTACGTCAGATTGATTATATTTGTAGCATAACAATTAAAAAAGAGATGGATTTATTAATTAAAAGTTTGCAATACAATTTTTACGAAATGTTATTAATATTAAAACAAATATTGAGCAAACACATTTTTTTATTCAGATAAAAATTTTATTTTTTATTAAAAAATAATTTATAAGTATGAATAGTAAAATATGAATATTAAATGGATTTCAAATTTTAATTAAATGTGAGAGGTTTTTAGGTATAAGTTTGACTAGGAAAAATAAAAGGTGAAACGTTTGTTTTCTTAAGATTCGGATTTATTAAATATGCTTCTGATATATTAGTTTACTATGTATCATACACAATTTACATATATACAAAGTATATATAATTAATTAAGAACGAGAAACTGTAGGATATTCTTGCAATTGCTCGCGATGTCACGATCTCGCATTCAACTCTCCGGTTACTATCATCAAATGCGTAATCATAATAATTGTAAAGCCTCCGCATACATGCTGCAGCCAGTACATGTTACATAAGATGTTAGCCATGTACTATTGTAAGATTTCAAAATTTCGAATTTAAGATATAATGATTTTTTTTACAAAGTCTTTATAATTATCAAGAAATTTCGCTTTCGTGACGAGCTTTCTTCATATAATTAATTCTTCAAGCACATACATTAAGAAATCATTGACGAAGGTTCTTTCCCTTCGATAAAAATATTCAACAATATGCTAGCGTGCTCGTTAGATATATTTTCAAATTGACCTTTTTCCCATTTTTCGCGAGAATCTTCTGTCGGATATAAAAAGTGTTGCGTCACAAGCAATCGAAAAAATGTAGAACTACAATCGCAGCTATTTTGCAAGTATAGAGCTCTACTTTGAGAATCTATCAAACATCGTATCGTGAATCTTCCGACAATATGAGAAAAGTACGTGCGAAGTTACGTTAGTTATGAATCGTGAAGGAATGTCTACGTTATAAAAACTTCTCCGATGATCGAATGTATTTAACCTTTGACCCGCTGGCAGTAATTCATCTTCGTGTGATTTACCATCGTCCAGAAAGAGTCGTTAAATACACATGGAATAATTATGCGGTATCAAGACGACATTGTGCACACTTCAGGTCTAAATTGGAATTTTCTTTATGATATTCTTCTCTGCGACATATATGCTCTCGAAGGACTAATTTGAACTCTACGTGTGAATCTTTATAATATTTTTTACGGCATTACGTGATAATTTTGTACAAATATTTTATAAGAACGCGACATCGAAATTGTCTAACAATACTCTTCTACGTGTCTTTCTATCTATAGTTATTTATTTATACACATCAAACTAATTTATCAAACACGAGAATAATCTTTGGTTTCTGACGACATTCACACTGTCTCTAATTTCTTTATGAATATCAACCCATGCTGCAAAAAAATCTCAACTGGTTTCTTTCAATTTTTTTTTTAACACGGAAGAGTCGCGGGAGAGTCGATTAAATCCCTCACAAAAAAAATGCAGCTCACATTACAATAGTTTAATGGTACTTATTCTGTTTTTATCGTATATTTTTTTTCTTTTTTTTCTAAAATAATAAATACATTCGTAAGCTGCTCGAATATTAACAAAAGACGCGTAGCAACATATTGCTAACATAAGCGATTTTTAAATGGGGTCTAAGAACACTCTACGCGACCTCCATGCAAAAAAGAAACCACACGATCATTCCCAGGTTAATTGAAGAAATTAAAATTACGGGCAAGTGTCGTTTTCTATCTACAACTTTTCATTAGACTACTTTACGTTAAATCTTTCACACTTGCTTTTATTTTTAACATTAAAGTCTCGTCATTTCTCGAATTTTCAATATCAACGTTTTTAAAGTAAATGTCTGTGCATATTAAAGTGTTTTATGTAATATATCGTTATATTCGTTCTCGAAAACATTTAAAATCGACTGTGTCATTATTTCAAAAATATTTGCACATTATTGATAAACTCATTCATTCACACATTCTTTCAGTATGCCATTCTGTGACCGTTTAACGACGTATACTGTCGTTCCGTATTGTTACGCACATGTATAATGTATAATAATTATACGATATATGATATATATATATATATATATAT